TCCAAGCCATATTTTAGATCTCAGGGCAAAGCCTGAGAATTCGTGGGCTCCTTTTTCTCCTTTCCATGTCATCTGACAAATAATCAGAGTAGCAAGGCAAGCAGGCTCCTGTGTCATAGGACCAAGGCACTTATCTAATGTCACCAAGTGACACCTGGAAAGCACAAGGCTGGTGATTCCTGCTCAGGCTCTGACAGCCCAAAGATGGGGGAAATGGATGTTCTGTAAAGTCTTCACTCCACCTGAGAAAATCAATAGCATTTAGAATGTCTGATAGATGAAATGTGAGAGCAGTGGCAATATACCTCAGTAGTCAACGCACAAATCTCTTAGGCCTGTGCCCTGGTTCTGCGGGGATCCCGGGAGGTGAGCGCCTTGACTCACTGCCTACTTCTAGCAGTGCCCAGTGGGATGGGCTTCTGAATAAGCATTCCCACAACTCCCCCCACCCCCCAACCCCCAAGCCCTAAGATGCCCAGGATCATGACTCATCAGCAGAAAGAAGAAAATGAGGCAGAAAAACCTTAGGGGTGGGAGGCAGGTGGGAAGAGAAAATATGACTCAGGAAATCCCAAGGCCTCAGAGGAGGCTCTAGGGAGAAAATATAATGTGGGAGGGTGAGGGGTGAAGGCTGAAGGTTACACTATAGCATAAGTGGGCTTCAATGCACATTATATTTAATGTCCTTGACAGCTTTAATTTGCCGCTTTAAATCTAGTAAGCATCGGGGGAAGCCAAGTTCTCTACCTGGGCCTGCTGAAGTCTTTTTCTCTTTGTAAAAGACAAAATGATCAGGGACACCAAGAGGACAAATTTGGGAGTAAAATGTGTGCATTTCTATAAGCTCCCCAAGTGACAGACAGCCGCGAGAATGAAGGAACTGCCCGAAGTAGCTGCAAACCACCAGTTAGGAAGGTGTTACTAGGACGGCTCAGCTACTGCAGGAGTTAAGAGGAGGCGAAACACGCAGGTGAGCCGGGCGACCACTGCAAAAACTGAGGTAGAGGTCTAGACGGACATCTATTTGAGTCGTGCTGTGTCCTCCACACAAACTCATTCTGCACGTAATTTCTGTATTTTCAAACAGCACACCAAAGGAAGAGGCCGTGAGCGCATTCACACTCGAAGGAAGAAAGGAGACTTGCCTGGGGGTGGCACACTCTTCCGCTCTTACGTTTTCATACAGGCCCGCCTGGGGCATTCGGTTCCTAGAGAGGCGGTCACAAGCCCATTCGAGTCCACATCGACCCAAAAAGGATTATGAAGAGCTTCAGGGGCACCCATGAGCCAAGCTCCGCCCTTTCTTGACGCCAGCTGTGCACAGGAGCGCGTGAACCTGCGTGCACACGTGAACTTGCGTGCCTACGCAAGCGAACGTGCACGCGCGCGCTTGTGGCTGTGGCACGAACGTGAACGTGCATGCAGCTGTCCAGGTGTTACCCAGGCTCACCCATGTCTGGGGAAGAGGACAGACATCCTGAACGGATATCAACTGACAATAACTCAAACATTTTCATTAGTTTGAAATTTGCTGATTTTTGGCGAGCATGTTCTTGTGGGGCCAGGAAAAAGCACCACTGGGTTTCTTTCCTTTTTTTTTTTTTTTTTTTAAAAAAAAAACATCTTCTTATTAATTCATCAAATTTGAGAGTTGTTTGTGTAATCATTACTAAAAGTATATTGAGAAAAAGACCACCTTTGCAAGGTTATTGGTTTATAATGAGTTTACAAGTGCAGGTGCCTTTAAATACATAATTAAGGCTGGATCCTCGACCCAGCCAACTCTAAACACTACCACTTCTCTGAAAGGTGGACAGATCAACCTTTTCACTTGAAGTCCTCTCAGGAAGTACTTTGAAAGTCCTGCTTGCTTTACCCAGTGTCCACAACAACCCAGAGGTGGTTTTCTGCTACAGTAGCTACCTAACTCATTTCCTTGAAAACAAGTGGGGCAGTGCAGTAATCTGCATTTGCTTTTCATGAAAATAAGTCGACATGATCTTATCAAGTCTTCTTTCCAATTTAATAGGGCAAAAAACTAATCTACTGAATGAGGGCACATACCGTAATAGGTATTTTGGTGGAATACATCACTAATACCAGCAGAAAGGTAACTATTAATGTGTTTACCACTTCACGAATAATAAGAAAAAATTTATACTTAACTCCTGCTGGGTAGAAGATCACTGTCTAAATTAAGGTTAGCAGTTTAGTCTTTTTGACATTAAAACTTATGCAAAAAAACTTGATCATAATGCTACTCCTAGTTCTTAGGTCTCCTGTAGGCAAGTTAGATCTGCCCATTACCATCAAAAGTGTGATGATACCTACCTACTTGGTATTGTTTTTGTAGATGTCACAAATAACTGACAGAAACAAACTTTCATCACAGAATTAAAATATTTAATGACAAAATTAGAGTTTGCAATACTAGTGAATCATAGAGCAGGTGTTACTTGTCTTTGAAAGAAACAAAAATTGTACTTGACATCTTAGAGAACTTCTGAAGAATAACTGTACAACAGACAACAGTGTCACAATTCTAAAAATTAAAAGCGAGATCCATCTTTAATATTCTTTATGTAGGCCATTTTGTAAGTATTTCTACATAAATGCACTACATTTTCTAGCCACAAAAGTAGTATTAAGACAGATTTCACTATAATTTTAGGTCTAACACATAATCTTAATTTTTTTCAGAGCTTAAAAAAAGTTAACTACTGATCTTATTACATTTTACAAATACATTCTTTAAGAGGAAACATTAACCTGAATAACTATATTTCCTGTCCACAGATATCTAATACTAGTCTAGAATACTACAGCTACATTCCAAGAAGAAGTGATAACACTGGGAAGTTCTTTTCTTTAGGCATTGTCAATACAATTTAAGAAATCCTCACAGAAATATAGTATCCCTCAAACTCATAGTGCAGTGCAGAAATGAAATGTCTTCTAGCAAGATCAACCAATCAAACTATTTGGTCCCAAATAATGTGAGTCATTAGCAACTTTCTCTAGGTTAGATTGTATTAATATTTTGTACGACAGCACCTTCTGCAAAAAGATGGCAAAGGCCTTCATGTGTGTTATCCCAGGGCTCCTTTAGAGGGGGGAAGAGATTTGAGGGGGGTCAGAGGGACAGAGAGTGAGGCAGGATTTGGACACAGGGAAGGCAGCATAAGAACTTGGTCTGGAAGCAAATCAACAGGAGAAGCTAAGATTCAGATAGGCTTTTCCCTAATCCAAGAAGACATGGGTCTAAGAGAGCCAACAGTGAGGAAAGAGGGCAGATGTGGATACTTGTATTTATGAAGAGTACTATCACAACTCTGTCAGCAAGGAGGAACCTCAAGTGAGCTTATGACCTCATCTTCTGCTACTTTAGAAGCAGCTTCACAAACACTGATGTTAGATAGTTGGCAATAATTTTATTTTTGAGTTTGGCTGATTGTCAGAGGAGGTTTTAGATTTATCTTTTCAATTATTCATACCAACTATCTCTGAAGCTAGAATCCAATTTGGGAAGATGAATTTATGTGTGTGTGTGTGTGTGTGTGTGCGCTTTCTGAACAAAAGTCTGCAAACACAACCTCATTGGAGTGACATTTTTGAGCTTTTCTTAGAAGTTGTACGTGCTTCTAGTGGTACTCACCAGATAACAAATTCACTGCTTCAAACTTTAAAGACACCAAAAGAAAAGCACAAAATCTTTCAGTAAACTTATATAGTTCACCTGTATTTACAGACAGTTTTGTTGAACTAGATGATTTCACTAAGAGGATTCAGAAACTTGTCTCCAGAATATCCTATCTTCCTTTTGACACATACTGTCTAAGATATCCCTTCATCTCCACCCCAATAGCTCAACTTTCTATTGCTCCTAGAATTCTTTATCAGGAGAACTTAAGCTATATAAGTCAGCATAACTATCTGAAAGTCATCTCACATTTAAGAGGCAACCATACACACAGACTAGGGCTCAATGGGTAGGAAGGAGCAGAGAGAGTTCCTGAACATTCAAGTAGCTTATGAGTCAGTGCAGTACTGTGGGAGCTAGCTGGGGAGGTCTCCGGGATGTGCAGCCCTGCCTCCTTGTTGCATGAAGACACAGTTTTTAGGGTTAGCATTTTAACCCCTTAAGAAACAGACTGTCCAGACTTTCAGCCCAGTCCTATCTTGCAAAATATACAAATCAGGTGTGTGAGCCAATCTGACTTAATTCAACTGCAATGTGAGGGCTTCATGTCTGTGCTATGTGATGTCAGGTCAGGCAAACTGCAACTGTCACGAAGTGCAACCTGTCAAACAACCTACCCTTTCAGATACATTAAATAAATAGACAGCCATAACATCAGATCCTCCAAATTCTAGATACCAATAAAGTGAAGTCCATTTCCCAAGGACACTGTGAAGCTTCTAAGATATGCTTGACTTTGTAAAAAGAAAAGAAAAAGGCTTTAAATGTAGTATCTTTTCACATTATCACTTATACAGAACCTTTATCTAGACAAATCTTTATCTTGATAAAAATCCAAGTTCTTTTCAATGCTAGCTACCTTGATTTGGGGCAATGACAAAGAAACATTCCTGAACGCAAAGAGTTCTTAAGTAGGCTTTTCCTTAGGTCTTCAATCTCAAAGTTTTATCCTTCAGATGATAATTCTAAATAATCAGCCTTTAAACAAGTAATGCAAGTATTTAAACTGTAGCTCAGAAACTAGATTTCTACCAATGATTCTGATTTGTTTTTGAATGCTGGTGATGGCTTATGCAGAACATTATGACATAAAGAGCAAAATCCAAGGCTGCTGTTTCCTCTGATAGAGCCAATCGCTTTCCATGATACAGACTTATGTCTTCGGTCATTGAATCTTAATCTTCAAATTAAGAGTAGCTAGGAGACTGAGAGACACCAATCACTGCTTGATTTTTATTTCCATCCAGGAACAAAAACATTTGATGTCACCACATTAAAATGTCCTCCTGCTTAATATCAGGACAAAAATATGTTGCCAGTTTAGATCCAGCTCATTATATCATGTAGTCCATATTTCATATTCAAACGATCAAAAGAAAACTTTTTAAAAAGGGAAAACAAACATGTACATATACCCAGTGGGGGGGGGGACACCAAAGTGAAGCTGGTGCTTTTGCAGCATTCTTAGCAAGATCATTAGGGAACTGTATAAACACAACATCTTTTCTTTCCTATGAACACCTGGAAAGGAAAACCCAAAAACCCTACATGTCCATATACTGGAAAAAAAGAAGCAAGCAGAGGTCCAGAATTCTTGTCAAAACCGCAGATCAAACTCTTCCATTTCTCTTAAGAGGGTCACCAGGATAGGCAGTTTCTCAGTTTCTCAACATTTGTGCTTCATGGCAAGCTGAGGAGAGAGAGGGATGAGAAAAGTAAGATGCTCTTAACAGTGGGGCGAATGCCCTGGCCCGCTGCCCCCCAGTCTGCAGTCAGGAGCAGCACCATGATTTCCCTCGACTGGGCAGATGGCTGCTGTTCACAGTGGCTTTCAGGCGTGGGCAGCACTTTTCTGAGTAGCCACCAAAGCTGCATTTATCGTCCCTCCTCACAGTCGTAGTGCCTGGGCCGGAGAGAGGGCTTCATGGTGGCCTTCACAACAGAGCCCCGGCCGAATGAGTGACCTGCTGGAGGACCAGGTGGGACCAGAATAAAGGTCTCTGGGCACTAACTAACTTGTTCCTTGGGCACCTGGACATTCCTCAGCTGTAAGTGGACATCTCACGCAGGCTTTAAAATCAACTGCCGAGAAAACGTCTGCAACAATCCACTTAATATCCAGCCTGGACATCCAACCAGGTCCAAACAGTAGCTGGAAACACAACTGCTACCACTGCTGAGGGCTGACCACGAGGTCAGAGCTGGACCTTGATTTATCCCTCCTCCTACTGCTGTTTGAGAAATGTGGTTGACTGACATGGTTGGTCTTTATAAATGGGGACCCCATGTCCCAGAGTGCCATTCCATGGCTTCCCAAGCTCGGGAAATGTGTGGAGGTACAGAATGTAAAATGAAATCCGACTTGCCTTTTCTCAGTCACATCTCTGCTGAGGAGCCCATACACTGATGCGAACCAGAAGGCAGAGCTGTGTCCTCTGCAATTCCTCCTGTGCCCAGAGTCTGATTTAAGGTTTAGTCCCTGAGATGGGGGTAGGATGTGATTGGGGGAGGGGGCAGGATTCTTCAGCTCAGATTGCCTCTGAGTAGGTTATTCTCAGCAGGCAGGCAGTACATTTGTAGAAAACACTGTCATTTGCATCACAACCTAGCATCAGCTAGGGGCACCTGCCCTAATTCCACCCAGTGGTCCTTGTATCATCCTGGGAGATAGCTACCAATCTATTTCTTCAGTGTGATGCAGGGTTTAAGTCTCCCCTTCTCCCTTCTTGACATCTTTCACTAAGAAGTCACAACCCCCAGCTGCAGCCCACACAAGCCACCTCCTAAAGCAGCACTATGGTCTGCCGCAGGCCGTGTCCTTGGTCAGGTCACATGCGAGGGAGAAGGTGATGGTGGACCTGGCTCTTATGTGGTTAAAATAATCTCTGTTTAGGAAATCCCAGCTGAAAGAGCTGCTGGCGCCTCCTCCCAGCGAAGCAGCCTAAGTGGAACCCTCATAGACCTCCCGCAGTGCTGACAGTTGTCAGACAGTGTGCAAGCCTGAGTGTGCTCCGTAGCTGTGCTAATGTCTTGGTGGCTTCCCCTTAGCCAAGAAGGGTGGAAGTGGCTAATCATTCCTGATGTTGCCCTGAAGTCTGGGAAACATGGCAGGTGGAAGTGGCAAGGCCTGGTCTCTCCCACTGCTGGCCACACTGCCTGGCCACACTGCTGGCCTCTGCTGCATGGCCTCCACTTCTTGCCTGGTCTCTAGTTTGCATACATTATTTAGCAACGTGGACCATTCAAATCAACACAGAGCTGTTCAGTGGTGCATAATGAATACCAACTATAAATATTTGATCAGGGCTGCTGTCCTGTTATTCACTGAGCTGTTAACCTTCAACTAATGGGCTTGTGCCAGTTTACCCACAGCTTTCATCTGCAGCAACGATTGTGAAGCTGTGAAGACTGGGCCCTGGTGGCCACTATGGCTTGTCTGGGGTGGAGTTGGCATTATATTGTGTCAGGGGCTGAGTGATTCAGCTTTGCATAGAAGTAGCTGGATTGGACATTTTGGTATTTGAAGTAGTTTTGCAGAGTGGCATTATTTTCATGCTACCTATTTTTTATTTTTTTTTAAAATTTCCTCAGATTTAGGCATTGAAGAATTCAGAAGGCATGATGGTAGGGCAGAAAGAACACTGAATTAAATGGAAACAGGATATCTGGGTGCTGTTACTTCCTTGCTATAAATCTGCTATATGATCTTGAGCTCTAAAGTCACAACTGTTTCCTAAACTACCTCAATTTCCTCATGTCTATAAATATCACTTCCAACTCAAACCCTTCTGGATCAATTTAGATGTCAGTTTTCCTATAAAAATAGTTAAAAACTTCCTTTTGAAGCAGTTGTAATAGAGTAAAAATGAAAATCAACAAACCAGAGATATTCTATGGGGGCAGAGAGGGGAAAAAGATCAAAACTGGGCACACAGGACTATGGTGATGGCACATGGGTGAACTGATGGTGGGAAATCCACAGGGATTACAACAGAGATAAAAAAATGTACAAAATGGAGAATGATGCTTTTATGCACACACACACACATATTTACATCATATATATTTCTATTATATATTATATATATTTCTATTATATATATGTATCTTTTTGCTGTATTTTGCTTTATTTGTATCCCATGGAAACCTTTCTCTTTCAATACAATGTAACTTCACCTAAATGATGATGTTGATGATGACGTATGAAAATAATGGATCATTACTCACGCTGGGGTAGTGGGGGTAGTGTCTGGAGGCCTGGCTCTTGAAGTCCTTTGGCTCAGAGACGCAAAGGAAGCAGGTGACTGTGGTGAGTAGGGACAGAGGAAGCCATTTCCTGGCTTTTGTCCCTCCCCCCTTCCCTACAAGGTAAACTTGTGCAAAACAGGCTGGTTACCATTCCTTTCTGTCAGAAATGTCAGCTGAGGATGCCGAGGTGTGGGAAATCTTGCCTGCTGACTTGCAGCCCGTGGCGGGGCTGTCAGATCGCTGCACACAATGTGATGATGTGCTTTTGGGGACTGAGGAAAGGGAGCAGGCCTGCTCCGTGGCACTCTCCTGCACAGCTCAGGAGCCATGCCAGCTCAAGCTGGGCCCATGGGTGCTGGGGCTTGGGATGGTTTCCAGCACATATCTTGACGGTGTGGTGTGCTGAGGTGATCCATTCCCTAAAGTGCCTGAGTCTTTGCAGGGGTCTCGGGAAACTTTAGGGAGCTGCAGGTCTTTTTCTACACACACACTTGAGAAAGGGGTGGCATATTTACCAGCTGGGATTGTACACGCCCTGATTTGACCAGGGAGCAGCAAGAAACTGTCTCCTGATACAGCTGTTCTCTGCTTTGCCCTGTGTCTCCATTTGTAAATACAGCCCACTCTTTATGAGTCAACTCAGCCCTTTTAATTGTGGGGGTAGAAGACCTGGGTCCTCTCTCTGAACCCTCTTCTCACCAGCAGACCTGGCCAGGAGTTGTTTAGTCAAATGACATTTTCACGGTCAGCTACACTAGTGGGTTCAAATCAGGAATCCCAGTCCCCAGGAAAACAGCCACAGCTTGCCTAAAGAGGTCAAGCTCCTTGTTAGGAATACTGCCAAAGCGGGTGATTCATAGGCTCACATCCCAATTTTAGAAAACTGAAGTCTGGATATGACAGCATCTTTCTTACATTCCCTCAAACACACTAACAATGGCCCCTAAGCCCCCCAATAAGGAAGCTCTCTCACCTCCCATCCCCACTGAAAACAGGTGACTGGCTGGCATAGACCCTCTACACCCACAGGCCTTTGTTGCCAGAAATTATTAAAATAGTATCTGTTTTAATGGTCCTTTCCTATTTAGAAAGTGTCAGTATTTAGCAGGGAAGCCTACCCACCTCACTTAGGAAGGCACCAAATCCTCCCCCAACCCTTCCCTCCTTGTGTTGGGGGTCTCAGCCCCAGTTCTGCAGTTCTGCCCTCAATCAGGGCAGGTTCAGCATAAAATATTTGGATAGGAATAATTACAACTAATATTAACTTAGATACATATGTACCAGGTATAGGCTAACAGATTTATAGGTTTGGACTCAATTCTCTCAATAGCTAGCAGGTAGGTACTATCATTTATTAGACCCAGTGTACTGAAGAGGAAACTAAGAGAAATTAAGCCCTTGCTCAAGGTCACTGAGTAAGTCAGACACAAGAAGTTCACTACCACACCATATTGCCTTCCCAACTACCCAGCAAATTTGATGCAGCATCAGGGAAATAGAGTAACCAGGCCAAGACTTCTGGCCACCTGGATAGGTTATCTAACCCAGAGTTTGCACAACCTTCTCTGAGGGGGATGCCTACACACATGACCTCCAGGTACTGTCTACTTCACGTCAGGAAGAGCAATGTCACACACTTTCTTGGTAACCCAGTCCATGGTTTAATGATTAACCTAAATTGGTGTTTTTGCAGAATCTTATCACTACATTATTGATTGCTCTATTCTGTATAGTAAAGCACAAAGGAGAATTGCCTATACTATCACAGTTAAGAGATTATTCCCTTTGGCCTTCTATTCTCCCAAATCAATACTGTAAATGTTTCCCTGGACTTCCACTCCCATCCTCTATATCAACCACTAAAGTTGCTGCTGTTATAAATTAAGCTGAAGCAGGGATCCCAGCATTTCTATCTCATCATCATTTCTTTATCTAGAAGGCTGGAGAAGGGAAGGGTGGATGAGGGGAACTTTAAATCTGAGCTCCCTCAGTTATAAGGTGGCAAAAGAGAGGCTCTGACTTCTAGCAGAGCTGCCTGTATTTCCAAGCAAATCTGGTCACTTTGTTACAGATCTACCTCTGTGAAAGGGAGGAGCATTTTCCTACTTACATGCACCGGTCTTGGACTCGAGTCCCAGCATGCCGTGAACAGGCTCAGCATGCCGTGAACCGGACTTCCTAAAGGGGGTGGGGCAGCTGGGAAGGAGTGAGTTAGATATGTAAATACAGGGGGATGTTTGGAAGAGTGAGGTGGAGGAGAGACATGTAGAGACACTTGAAAGAGACAAGAGTGAAAGACACACGGGGAGGCTATTCCTTGTCCGTGGCAGATTTTGGCTTTATGTTGGATTATGTGGCCTATTTTGAACATTGAGTCGCTCCCTCTGCCCCAGCTCTGGGACCCGCCTAATGCCTTTCTTATAGTTCTCTCCCAAAAGGAACCTTAGACTTGTAGTAAGCTTTGGGTTTCAGTGGCCCCACTTCAGGCTGGGCCCATCTGGACATTTGCCCACAAGGGGATGGATAATGTTTAGAGTGCTATTGAAACTCTTTTTCTGCTCTCGTTGTACATATACCAAATATTAAAAATGTTTCAAATGAAGAACCTGCTTCCTTTGTCTTTCTGGGCAGAGATGGCAGAACTCCATTTAGAGCATGTGCCCCTGAATAGCCTGGGGCCCCTCGGTACTCTTAGTCATGTGTTCACAACTTTTCCTCCAGGGAACTCTGAATGGGTCCCCAAGACAGCTGAGCAGTAAGCTCCTGTCACATAGGGAATGAATGACACAATGGGACAGATCTCTATGGAGGAGACGTGGAAGGGAGGCAGGAAGCATTCACTTGAATCAGATCACAGTCGGCCTGAGCGTCAGCTTTTCTCATTACTTTCCAGATTGTGCATCAGTATTTCTTCAGCAGAAGTAGAGTTTTCTGTTGAGCCAATTAATTTTTTTCCCCAAAGTTCACTTGTAAAATGTATCTGAAGAGCCAGTGCCTAAGTCTGGGATGCCAACACTTATCAGCAGAAGTTGTTTCTGGAAACCTAAATTTGAATCACTAGCTAGAAAAGATGCCCTGTGATCTGAAGCATAAGAACAGTAATAAATCCTCTTTATCACCTGACCAACAGGGCATCTATTTCCTTCTCATCGCTGGCTGCCAATATAAACTCCCCTTTCCTCTTCTGAAAGCTATATTCTTAGGGAATATTTGTGTGTATGTGTGTGTGTGTGTGTGTGTATTCACATCCACATGCCAGCTTCTGGTTTCAGAAGCAGGAGGAAACTTATAGGCAGCTCTGCAGTAGGCAGCTTTTTCTTTCATACCCACAACCCTGAAACTAGCCCTGAGGGGTGCTGTGCCCTGGGATCTGAGCTTGCTCTTCTTGCAGTGCAGACAGGGACCGGGATGCTGGGCTCAAGCCCAGAAAGGGACAGCAAAGTAAAGTAATTAAGAGCAGCCCTAAGTCCTCTTTTGAGATTGGTTTAGGGAGGGGGGAGGCTGTGTGACTGATACCCCATGTCACCCCCATCCTGTTCCCTGAAACCTAAGCTCTAAACTTCAAGGCATGAACTAAAGAGGATTCACATTTCCCAATGGTTAGAGATGGGGATGAAAATGTTAGTGAGGGGCTCAAGAAACAGGTTCAACAAGCAATTACCCATGACTCTGATAATAAGCAGCAGATAAGAATTGTGTAAAGGGACAAGAAACCCAGGACTTGATTTTGTATCTGTCATCATGGGGAACATGCTAGAACAGACCTCTTGGCATCCACATTCCCTGACAACCCAGAACACAATCCCCTCCTCTCCCGTGGGACCCACCTTGTGTGCAGTTTCTGCAAACTGCTGGGCGCTGTTCTTCATGTCTTCTGTCTTCTCCTCGGCTCGGCCTAAACGCTCCCCACGCTCATTCAAGGCCTGGCTCGCTTTCTGTACGGCACTGGTCACGCTGTCGGCCGCTGAATGGAGGATGCTGTTTCCTGAAGGACAGTAAGAGCATGAGAACCTACTGGGAAAGACCCTGCCAGCGATGAACACCCTGTAAACGCAGGGCAGCTTGCACCACAGAGCGGCCCCAACTGCCAAGGGAACAAGCCAACATTTCTCCTGACATGGCCTGACTGGCTCACTTGTAGGAAGAACCCCCACTGACAGCAGAGCCTGAGCAAGTGATGAAGGCTTCTCCCAAACCCCCAGTGTCTACACAGCACTCATTTCCACTCACTGGCTTTCTGTTTAGTGAGGCTCAAAAGGACAGGACCTATGTAGACTTAGAACTTGACTTGAAAATCTTTACAAGTTCATAGAATTACGCAAATCCGATGAGACCTATGTGCATTTTCTTTTGACCTTGGGCAAGTAACCACAAAGAAACTGGCTGCACAGAATTTTTTTTTTTTTTAAGATTTATTTATCTGTGCATTCAGAACTGGGGTACAGGCCAGAGGTGCAGGGGCAGTGAGAGGATTCACTAGAGTCAGAGTGGGGGACAGAACAGGCAGATCAAAAAAGTACACTGCTGAGGGAAGCAGTGGGAAGGACAGGAGAGGCCTTCTGCGCCATGTGGGTCACCTTCAGGGTAGGGATCAAACTCATGCTTAAGTGGCTTTAGCTTCTTAGTGCTGTGCTTTCACCTGCTGCACCACCAGGGAGGGCCTGGCACACTGCATTTTTGTAGGTACAATGCTCTGTATTTCTCTTGGTTCTTTCCTTTTATATTACCCCTTCATCCTTACGTGTATGTTCCACGCGAGAAGCTCTGAATTAATCCCACATTTCAGAGTAGCTGCACTGACTCATCACTTTGAATCTCAGGCATTTCTTGGGTGGTCAGCCTTCCCTGCTCTCTAATATATCTTGTAATGATACAAGATTGCATCATTCAGGAAATGACGTGGCTCATACTAGAAGCTGGTTTGCTAGTGACTTTTCCTTGCTCTCTACCTTCCTCTTGTTGAATAACAAGTTTCATTCAACGTTGTTTCATAACTTTGATGAGAAAAAGCAAATGGAGCTGACATGGAAGAAGTGATATTATTTCAGGACCTACTTTTTATGTATCACTTAGCTTAAATCTAAGTTTCCAAGAACCTATGGATGGGATTAAGTGAGACTACAGGCAATATGGGACATCAGCCCACTTAATAACAGGTAGAAAACAGTGAGAGAAACATGTCCTAGAAGAAACTTATTGCTCCTAAATTCATAAGTGATGACACAGAGAAAGATGAAATGATCATACTTTTCACATCCCATTTGCCAGGGATGGGGCACAGAATTCAACAGTGAAGACCTGGCTGAGGCAGAACCCACTGAGAAGCAGCAACTTACAACACAACCACCAAAGGAAAAATAATGGTTGTCTTTTGTTAAAATTGAGTGGAAGATATTTAATAGCCTTTTATATAATAGCTTTATGTCTTTGAACAAGTTTATTACATCATTTAACTTTGTTCCTGGGCTGGATCCATCTAGCCACAGACAGCTTTTAATAGAAATGTAATTTCCACTGGTCTCAGCTGCAAAGGCTTTCTAATTTCTCCTCAGTAGGAACAGTCTGTGGTTTGTGGCAAAGAATCTCAGGCAAAGAAAGTGCCTGCCCAGTAGAAGCAATTGGCAAATTGTCTTCCATTTTTCTTCTTCGGGGCTAGATTTCAAGGACTTCTACTAGGTACTGAGGGAAGGGGGATGGAGTTAATTTAATATTACTCAGTTGAGTCAAGCACTATGTGAGACAAGACAAATCAGCACATTGGAGATGAGGATCTGGGGAAATCAGACTAAATGCAATGGTTTGGCTGAAAGGACTCCAGCTTCAGAACAGATTTAGAGGGAGAAGTATCAGTTTCCCCTTTGCTTTTTTACACATATGCACGCATGACTATGTGGTAGCCTATCAGTATTGCCTAACTTTTTTAATATCATAGAGAACCATCACACACATGTTCTCATTTGATTGCCTCAAACATTCTACTGAGAAGACAGGTTAGTTGAGTTTAAGTGGCTTGCATGAGATTGTATCATTCAAGAAATGACGTGGCTCACACTGGAAGCTGGTTTGTCAGTGACTTTTCCTTGCTCTGTACCTTCCCCTTTGCAGATATGGTGTTGGTCACAGGGAAAACAAAACTATGACAGAAGAGTGAGCAGGCTATCACAGATAGGTTTTGACAGGGTATTTCTGAAGGTAACACCTTACTGTTCTCAAGGTATTACTCTTGGTAACTGTGGAGTTATTCACCATGCTGCATTGCAAAGTAAGCACTCTCAAAAAGGAAGAGTCCAATGGGATGGAATATGAAATGGATTAGGGCTGGAAAATACAGAGGACTGGTGGTGGAGGAGAACACAAGAACATCTCTTTTCTTTTTTGCTTCTTTCCATCTACTCAGAACGTAACTACCAGTGGTTCGGGAAAAGATGGAGAGAGCATCTGTGATATCACAGCCAGGAATTAGCTACCATAAAATTAAGAGGTTACATAACCAGTACTTGCCTTTTCTTATTGGAATTGACCCTCATGATATCCCCAAAGCTAGACACATTTCTTTCTGAAATGAACACCTGTTGTGTTTCAAAATACTGCTTTCTTGTTATGACTCCTTAAAGTTAATCTCACACAAGATGGCAGGTAACACTGTACCCAACTTTAGCTAAAACTCTTTAGTCAACAGTCATTATAACTCTTCTAACTAAAAGCAGGAACTGTGGCAATGTTCACTATTCAGGGATAACTCTGCTTAACACTGTGAATAGAAAATCTACTTTCAGCTATTTTCAAGATATGAAGATGGATTGGAACAAATCTCATTGCCTCAGTTGAAATAACCTCTCCTGGCTTCGATTCTATCAAATATTTTTGGGCCCGATGAAGTTTCAGGTCAATTCCTTTCTTTCTTTTCTATGAATTCCACATCCTAACCATTATCCCTACACTTTCTGGATGCTTTATCAAGTACAAGTCATGGACAACTAACTCTTCTACCTATTTCCTCACCTGTAGGTGCCGTGGCTTCCCAATTGGACAATAGCTTCTCTGACAGCACTATCACCCTCTGTGGAGCATTCTCCATTCTTGAATACTTCTCTTTTTGGCTTGGGCCTCCTGCTTGCTTAACTTCTTCTTTCTGGGATCCTCCTGTTAATGCTGTGAATTTTAAGGTTCTTTCCTGGGCCCTTTTCTCTCTCACACTCTACAGATTCTCCCTGGGGAAATTTTATGCAGCTTTTCATGGCTCAGCAGAGGGTTGGATGTATAACTGATATGTCCCATGGTCTAAGCGGGTTCTGAGATTCTAAGCTTGCTAAAATGACTAAGGGTTTAGTTTATGTCCAATAACTATCTCATCTAGAGATTATGCCGGGACTTCAGTGAAATAAGTCGATAACAAAATGCAAAAAAAGAGAATGTTTGTGCTAATAGTAAAAGCAAAGAGGGAGGTTATGAAGAGAAAGCTACATGCCTTAAAATAAACAAATGTAAGGTGTGAAAATAACAAATGTTAAAAAGCTTAATAAATCCAACACAAAAACAACAGCTGCCTGAACACTTACTGTGTTCTTGGCACTGACTAAAATCTGCTGCTCTCAAACTTATGTGCTAGGCAAATCATCAATCCCATGTTTTACAGATGGGAACACCAAAGTAGACAGGCTTGGAAAAATACCAAGGGTCACACCGTGAGTAAAGAGCAGAGTTAGAATTTGAACCCAGAAGTCTAGCTCCAGAGCTATAGTTCTCTTTCGCGTTGTGTTACATTAACTCTTCACTCGAATTTTCTTATATTGAAACTAGCAATACAATCTATATTAACTGTTTGGAATGAGATTTCAGTTACCTTCTTGTATTTACACACACATACACACGCACACACACATTTCTGACAATTGCTAGATATGAAACTGCAAGTTTGAAGTTCATGTACATTTTTCTGGTTCTAGATGCAGGCTGAGAATTGCATCCCTGAAAGATTCATTCATTTTAAAACTATGTGTCAGGCATTGTTATATTGACACAATTGGTGGAATGACTTTGAGGGCATGATTTAAATTCTATGATCTTCGCTGTCCTTGTCTCTAAAGTGAGAGTGATGTCACAGTCCCCCATGTGGCTGCTGGGAAAATGGAGACAAAGATGCACAGAAACTGAAGGAATGTTTGTCTTTCTGCCTCACTAGGCCACACCTACTCTCCAGAAACTGGACAAAGGGCACAATACCACCCAAACTCATTGCAAATCTTCCTCTCCCTGCTCCTATCTGGAAGTTCATAGAAGAAACCTCTCAGATATCTTTGCATGTCCTGTTGTGTGTAGCTCAGCATGCTGCTCACAGAGGGAGTTGAATACTCATCATATCAAGGTGTGCTTTGTAAATAGGGTGTCTAATTCAAAAGTTGGGGCCCATTGCATTGTGCTGAGTTAAATCTGGAAAAATGCAATCTCCTGAGGCTGTTTGAACAGTAATTCTCACTAAACAGACAGGAAGCATATTAATACCCACATTTATTCAAGCAGTCTGAGAAGAGGTTGTCAACCACAATAAATAAAATCAACTACCTTTTGAATCATAGTTTCTGGTAAGCAGAACAGAGATCAGTCTTACCTCCTTGATGTTGCATGACATCAGTTCCTCTCAATATGTGCTTTTAAATATATGCTGACATCTTTTATGCTAAGTGATTGAGAAGACTTTATGGAGAGAGCAACTAGAGATGGAGTTACAACACTGCATCCAGTCACTGCTTGACAACACAATTAAAAGAAATTGAAATGTATAGGAAATGAGGGGGGGAAAGAACAAGGTATATTGAAAATGACGATAGGAGAGAGATGTTTAAAAGCATAGAATGTGCTCACAGTCCAGATAGCCACATAATTTCTTTCAATCATCCTAGGCTTCAGGTTGTATCTTATATCTTAGTAATCAAAATTCCAAATTCCATAGCGAGTAAAGAGGCAATTTATATAGAATTTTCAGCA